CCACAAGTACTCCTCAAACAAGCAGTGAGTCAATAGATTTTGTCGGTTGTGTTGTGTATGAGGTTTGGATGCTTTCCAAAGTTGTTTTTCTCACTTCGGGACCAATAGTTTGCGATTCTGTTTGAGTCGTGGTTTCAGATGTAGTTTTAATTGAAGTTAATTTTGTGGATTCACTACTTGTCTGAGGAGTACTGGTGGTGATATCAACAATATCTGAAGCTATTATAGTCGATGTGTCTTTAATTTCTCCTATGGATGCAGTTGTTTGTGGCCTTTCACTAGAAATCTTAGGAACACCAGTAGTTGTCATCAGTATTTCACTTTCAGTTGTGGTTTTCATCGAATCTTTCTTGATTTCGGGAATAAATGCTTGCGATTGAGTTGTCATTTCCGGTAAACCTTCAGTTGAAGACAATTTTGTGGATTCACTACTTGTTTGAGGAGGACTTGTAGTGGTATCTTGAGCTCTTATAGTCGATGTCTCTTTAATTTCTTGTGTGCCTACAGTTGTTTCTTCACTTCTCTCTGTCGTAATGAGTGGAATATCGGTCACCAATGCAAACCCGGTCTTTGGGGTTTGTTTTTGGGAAACTGTTGTAAATATTTCCGGTTCTTCACTAGAAATTGATTTCTGAGTTGTTGTGAATTCTTTAGAAGAAATTTCTGATGTAATTCTGAACTCAGAAGATGTGGTTTGCGGTGATTCACTCGATACTAACGGGATTTCAGTGGTTGTCTTCACTTCAATCTCAGTCGTTGTCTTTTCTGACACTTGTTTCCTATCAGTAGTTATATTCTTAACGATTGGAGCAAAAGTTGTCTTTACAGATTCTGTAGTGGATTCTGTGATACTCTCAGTCGAGGATATCCTTATTGTTAGTCATGAACATTCTCCTTATGAACACCACTATAGTGGTTATAGAACTTAAGAACACCAGCTACCTAGAAATTAAAGGAGATACCTACGTCAACAAACACCGGTTTCACTAGAAATCTTGGGCACTCCAGTAGTTGTGTCCAATAATTCACTTTCAGTTGTTGGTTTCACCGACTCTTTCTTGATTTCGGGAATAATTGTCTGCGATTGTGTTGTAGTCTCCGGTAAACCTTCAGTTGAAGACAATTCTGTAGATTCACTGCTTGTTTGAGGAGTTCTTGTGGTTATATCACCAATATCTTGAGTTCGTGTCGTTAATGTGTCTTTACTTTCTTTAATAGCTTCAGTGGTTTGTGGCCTTTCACTAGAAATCTTGGGTTTTCCAGTAGTTGTCTCTAGTATTTCACTTTCAGTTGTTGTTTTCGTCGACTCTTTCTTGATTTCGGGAATAATTGGCTGCGATTGAGTTGTCGTCTCCGGTAATCTTTCAGTTGATGACAATTTTGTTGATTCACTGCTTGTTTGAGGAGTACTTGTAATAAATTCTTGTGCTTTTGTAGCGAGTGTTTCAGCGATGGTTTGTGTTGTAGTGAAAGGAATATCAGTTACGGCTTCACTCTTCTTTGTGGTCACCGTTTGTGAAACTGTTGTCTCCTCTGGTCTTTCACTTGAGACAGGTTTACGAGTTGTCGTGTCTTCTATAGAAATGTCTGAAATCTTTGGTTCAGTTGTGGTTGTGATTGATTTGTCAGAAACTGTTATTGAACTGAGTTCTGGTATCTCAGTGGGAGTGCCTATCTTCACAATCTTGTCCTCATCAACATCTGAAGTATCTTTCATTTTCGTGGTTTCCTTAACCGGAACCGATTCAGTAGTCTTTATCGTCCCTTCACTTACACCAGAAGTCACTCCAATTGTCGTCGACTCTCGGATGACGGCGTCGGTTGTGGTTTGCATTGAACCGCTCGTCTCTGACATAGATTTCGATGGTTCTGTAGTTTTACTAAAGATCTTGGGCTCAGTTATGGTCACCGGTTGTGAAACTGTTGTCTCCTCTGGTGTTTCACTTGAGACAGGTTTACGAGTTGTCGTGTCTTCTATAGAAATATCTGAATAGAACCCGAGTCAACACCAGCTCATATCATATAGACCACAACAGAGGTAGAAAGACCATCTAGACCACCGGCAACTTAGTCAAAGAAGAAAGCCACTTGGTCACTAATGCGAAGCAATTGTCGATATAATGCTCGACAAAGTTGTCGATTCAACTGAATCAACAGGTGTTGCCGTTTCGCTAACAACTGGTACTCCCTTTGTTTGAGTCGATGGTTGAGTCGATAATATAGATTTAAGAGTAGAAGTGATGACTGATTCAGTGGTGATCTCATCGCTTGAGATTTTAGGAGATATAGTGGTTGTCGGAAAACGTGGCTCTTGTGGCACCGATTTATCTGTTGTTTTCACAGTCTCTTCCATATCTCTAGAAGTCGTGACCCTTTCGGTTGAATCCATAGATTTTGTCGGTTGTGTTGTGTATGAGGTTTGGATGCTTTCCAAAGTTGTTTTTCTCACTTCCGGACCAATTGTTTGCGATTCAGTTTGTGTCGTGGTTTCAGATGTAGTTTTAATTGAAGTTAATTTTGTGGATTCACTACTTGTTTGTGGAGTACTAGAGTATTTAAGAACTCGAAAACAACGTTACCAAAGTAGTTAAGAAAGACAGCATTACTGACCTTATTCGGTCACTAATTCACTCGTCTTTGGGGTTTGTTTTTGAGAAACTGTTGTAAATATTTCCGGTTCTTCACTGGAAATTGATTTCTGAGTTGTTGTGAATTCTTTAGAAGAAATTTCTGATGTGATTCTGGGCTCAGAAGATGTGGTTTGCGGTGATTCACTCGATACTAATGGGATTTCAGTGGTTGTCTTCACTTCAATCTCTGTCGTTGTCTTTTCTGATACTTGTTTCCTATCAGTAGTTATATTCTTAACGATTGGATCAATTGTTGTCTTTACAGATTCTGTGGTTTCCGTGATACCCTCAGTCGAGGATATTCTTATTGTATCAGTACTTGATTGAGGAGTACTTGTGGTAATGTCACCAATATCTTGGGCTCGTGTGGTCGATGTTTCCTTACTATCTTTAGTAGATTCAGTGGTTTTCGGTCTTTCACTCGAGATTATAGGTATTTCAGTCGTTGTCTTTGGTATTTCACTTTCAGTTGTTGTTTCGATGGACTCTTTCTTGATGTGAGGAATAATTCTTCGCAATTTTACTGTAAACTCCGGTAAACTTTTTGTTGCAACGGTTTCATCACTTGATGGTTGTCGGCAAACGTGGCTCTTGTGGCACCGATTTATCTGTTGTTTTCACAGTCTCTTCCATATCTCTAGAAGTCGTGACCCTTTCGGTTGAGTCAATAGATTTTGTCGGTTGTGTTGTGTATGAGGTTTGGATGCTTTCCAAAGTTGTTTTCCTCACTTCGGGACCAATAGTTTGCGATTCTGTTTGAGTCGTGGCTTCAGATGTAGTTTTAATTGAAGTTAATTTTGTGGATTCACTGCTTGGCTGAGGAGTACTAGTAATAAATTCTTGATCTTTTGTTGCAATGGTTTCATCACTTCTTTCTGTCGTAATGACTGGAATATCGGTCACTAATTCACTCGTCTTTGGGGTTTGTTTTTGAGAAACTGTTGTAAATATTTCCGGCTCTTCACTAGAAATTGGTTTCTGAGTTGTTGTGAATTCTTTAGAAGAAATTTCTGATATTATTCTGGGCTCAGATGTGGTTTGCGGTGATTCACTCGATACTAATGGGATTTCAGTGGTTGTCTTCACTTCAATCTCTCAGCAACAGAAACCATAAAGTGAAAGTCAACAACAAAGCTACCTGAGAAAGAACTACACTCCTTATTAAGAAGCGTTAAAATGACATTTGAGGCCATTTGAAAAACAACGTTGCCAAAGTAGTGAACTTTCTGTTGTCGTAATGACTGGAATATCGGTCACTAATGCACCCATCTTTGGGGTTTGTTTTTGAGAAACTGTTTCCGTAAATATTTCCGGCTCTTCGGTTTCAGGTGTGGTTTGTGGCGATTTACTCGATACTAATGGGGTTTGCGTTGTTGTCTTTACTTCAATCTCAGTCTTTGCTTCTTCTGACTCTTGTTTCTTATCAGTAGTTATATTCTTAACCATTAGAGCAATTGTTGTCTTTACAAATTCTGTTGTGGATTCTGTGATACTCTCAGTCGACGATATCCTTATTGTATCAGGACTTGTAAGAGGAGAACCTGTGGTCATATCAAGAGCTCTTGTAGTCGATTCCTCTTTAATTTTTCTAATAGATTCAGTGGTTTTCGGTCTTTCACTCGAGATTCTGGGCACTCCAGTCGTTGTCTCCAGTAATTCACTCTCAGTTGTTGTTTCGATGAAATCTTTCTTGATTTCAGTAATTATTGTTTGCGATTGAGTTGTCGTCTCCGGTAAACCTTCAGTTGATGACAATTTTGTGGATTCACTAC